TTAGTTACTCAAAATCGAAATTTTTATCAAATATCTTTAGGTTCGATAGCTCCGAAAAAGACAGGGACAAGAAATTAACGTAAATACGGCGCCATAGTTTACGTCAACCTCTTGTCCCTGCTTTTTTTTCGGCGCTTGTCCACTATCATAAACCAACTGGCCCAAATTGCTCCACTAATGCAATCTTTAGGTTGAAATGAGGTGGTCGTGTTGAACCCCGGTTTCTGGAAGTCGATAATTATTACAGCTTTTTGCCCTCTTAATTACAAATTTGATAAAACAAAATCGCTTACATTATTTGCGTAGCTAATGTCATAGCTTTCTGTTTAACACATTAACTTTTTCTTTACAAGCAGGGGTATTTACAAATTGTATGCAAATGGAAGAAGTGTCGGTGTTAAAAAAAGAGTAATACGAACGATTTAAAAAAGTATTGACCTATTTTTACCAGAATAATATTTCTGAAAGTGTTGGAAAAGGTATTAAAACATTTATCGTCAACATTTTTTAACGTGTTTACCCTAAAAGGAAACTGCCCCCCTCCCCCTTTCCCCTTCCCAAGATTTTTTTACATGTTTTTGACAGGCGATTCGATATGGTGTCAGGAGGGTACCCGAGCAATATTTTGGTAAAGAGTCGCGTATATTTTAAATAAAGCCAAAAATCTCAACTGGTCAAAACCGAAACCAAAACATGAGCACGGAAGCTCATGGCCGCGACACGTGGACGATGAGTAGCGAGGTGAACGTAGAAGTGTAGAGGAGGAGAGAGTTGCTAGAAATCACGTGGCTACACCCGACCGCGTTTTTTTTTTTCTACGCTTTTTTTGGCGGGCGATGCAGATGAAGACGACGACGACAAGTTTGCGTGCACCGTTTGTCGTGCGATGGTTTCGCACTCATATCGCATCCGCTCGATGTTCTGCGCTTAAAGATCGATTGGCCGGTACCACGGACGACAGTTCCGAAGAAACGACGCCACGTCCGTCGCAACCTTAGTCCGTCGTGCGCAGCCATTGGGGAATTGTAGTAGGCCGTTCCCGCAGCCCGCTAAGCACCCGGATAGCGCTCCGTAATCCGCCACAAGACCTTGAACTATGCAGACAAGGCTGGCGGCGCGCATGCGCAGCTGTGGCGTTTTCTTCGGGGATGGCGTAGCGGAGGAGAAAAACGATCTACTAAAACTCCCTATTGTGCCGTCCAGTCCGCGGTACGCCGCTATATTGAGAATGAAGAGGTAGATGTACTTCCTCTGATCTGGGCAACATCTGTTTTTTATCAAAGTATTTGCAGTTTTTTGTGGGCCAATAAAAATGGAGTTATTATTCTTTTGTATTTTTAATATTGAATGTGCGCCTAGATGACCCACGACTTCGGATATATTTGGTAAACTATAGTTGGAACACCATGTGACCATGAAAAAGAGAGGAAGCGCGACTGAAACCAGCCACTTCTTGACCGGCTGTTTTCGGGCGAAAAGAAAATGAATTTCGAGCCGCAAATTGTGTTCAGGGTAGTTCGGCTCTCCTATGTCATGTCCAAGTAAAGACCTCGGCCGGCATAAATACCCCGTTAGCTCAGTCCGGATGTATTGAAAACCTGCATCTGCTTTAGCAGCTAACCAAGAAAGTATTCGATTCACAAAGTGTTAGAGTGCTAAAATTGTACTCAAGGCATTCACTGATGCGTTTGATTTGCTGACACACGGTAGGTTACCTAATATAATCTCCAGCGCAGCGGCACACGGAGATACGTCTTTATCTAATTCCCGTCTAAGGCACCGACAAGAGTACGGTACGTCCGCGTAAACTACTACCGTTCAGAAGAGGATACTAAAGGCGGAGTTGGTGTTCACCAAATTATAAGCACTGACATTTTGATTATGCTTGGTTCTTTCGTTTTACAATTTTGAATATTTTTTTCTCCGTCCTGGCAATAGAAGACACTCTCTTTTCATGTAGGGTAGGTTATGTGCCCCACTTTGGTTGCTCGGTCTCTGAGAGTTGCCCACCTATGCATACGAAATCGTCAGCCTGACACAGTCTGCAGTTACCAAGCCAAGAATGTAAATAAATTAAAGCTAGCATTATTTTTTTTATTTAAAGGTAATGAAATACGATCAAATATTATTCAGAAACTGATTAAGTTTCACTAGTTAAATTGATGTAATTAAATTATAACCCAAGTATGCCATTCACTCGCCGTGCTTTTGCCTCGGCACCTTCGTCCATACACCGAATCGTTCTAAGATAGACCGCAGCGAAGGCTACGAGCGAATCCAGCGCCGAGAGCTTTTCACGTGACTTTCCCTTTAAGTGCAGCGACGCGCGAAGTACCAAGTCACGTGTCACCCTTGCGGCTCCGGATTGGCCGGGACGATCGGTAGCATCAGCTGCGGTCCATTCTAAGACGACGGAGGGAAGCATAGCCTCGTTCGCAAAGTGCATCCGATGCTATTATTGGGAAAGTAAACACACGCCGAGAGGATCCAAGGTTAAACAGAATGTTAAACTGCTACAGCCGACATCAACAATAACAAGAGCTCCGACCCATGTGCCAATGTAAACAATTCCGACGGTGGAGGTGGAACCAAATAGTTGGCAAACAACGACGTTCGTGTAAGCTTTGAAGAGGGGAAAAAATAATCCCGCAAAAACTCTTATAAACTCGAAAAAGGACGTTGCTGTCGATACTTTCGTTTATTTTTCGGCATGTCTAGGGCGTCGTGTCTCAACCTGCAGCGCAGTTCCGGTCCTGGAGCAATTATCGAAGCTGTTGGCAAGGGCCCGTCCCTCTCTTTGCACCCCGTTGCCTTCGTTTGAATCCGCCACCTTTCGCCCTTGTGCGCAACCCTATCAATAATGAACGCGAGCGCGAATTTACCTTTAATTATTCGAGCCGCGAGAGCGCTCTGTTTTCCCTCTTCCACTTTCTCTCTTACCGCTCATTCACACTGGAAGCGGATCCGCGTTCGCAAAGCGGTTGCGAACGCGGTTGTGTAAAGATCCAGTACAATTGCACGCGCACTTGATGTCATTGAGTGCGCGTGCAATTGCACTGGATCTTCAGACAACCGCGTTTGCCATCGCTTTGCGAACGCGGATCCGCTTCAAGTGTGAATGAGCAGTCACTCTCTCCCCAACACACACCCTCTCAGGTAATTATTTCCAGCTTTGAATGCGAGGTTTCTTTTCCCTAAAGGGTCCTTCGCGAGGATAAGATTAAGCCTCTTTCGACTTCGGTACTTCTTTGTTCTTCTTTAATGCGGAACATTTATCGGGCCAGCTTCGACGACGCGATGAAGTTACAGGGTCGCACGACTCCGTAACGTCATGCCCAAGGCGCTCTAAATCCGTGGAATTGGTAGATGATTTGTGACGTTGCGTTCCACTGTGTCGTCAGGTGACGTCGTGAGGCCACGTAACGGGACACAATAACGTCACGCAACCCCGTGACGGAACGTGACGTTATGCGTCACGTTCCGTCACCAAAGTTTCTCCGCTTAATTTAGCGATAAAATATCTCCGCTAAACGTCAAGGCGTCGCAGAGCGTCATGCTGCTACGTGACGTCCCATGACACCATGACGTGACGCAGTGACGTCAGACGACACTTACATGTGTTCTGATATCGCGAGAACGACCCACGCGAAACATACGCACCCGTGTGCCCTCCGAGAAGCCTCGCCAATAGGAGTTTTCGTTGATACATTTCACCGTCTCGCAATGCTCTCCGCAACCCGCTACGGTACCCGGAACTTTATACAGCCAAGCCCATCGGCGCGCAGGCGCAGTAGCGGCTTCTTCGTTTGCAGAGGGTTTAGCGGAGGGGGAAACGGTCACCGTAAAGGATAGACCAGAAATTACGGCGATGCACGAGGTTAGGGAGAAGAGGGGTTTTCACTGATGTTACTCTCGAGCCGCGCAGTCACACTGCCGATACATCTGACGAAATACCATGCCGTAAGTAGACTGTAAAGGGACGTTTAGGTAAGCGTTGCTCTGCTCCACGTATACTGCACTACCGGAGCCCCGCGCGTACCGCACTATGCCGCGGTTTGCGCGCTTAAAAGCATGCTTCTTCAAAGGCCGGTTGTGCGGTACGCGGAACACGATAACGTATTGCTAAAAGCCCCCAAAATGATACAACTATCCGCGGACTATGCTTCATCCGTGTTCGAAGCACGTTTCCCCGAAACTAACCAAACCAACCACCTATTTCCAGTTGCACTAAGAGCAAATTCGACTCGTGTTCCTAGAAATAATTTATTTGGGTATCCCCCCGCCTCCCCCCCCCCCCCCCCCCCCCCCCCGTTTATTAGCTGCTTTTGTTTCCACTAAAAGTGTTTAAGAGTTTATTCGTTCTGTTTCCTCGCTTTATATGACAATGGCCTCCAGTTTGTCCCCCCAGTTTGTGTAATGCCCGAAAGGGCCTTCGAGGTTTATTTGACGATAATGCTGATGACTATATATATCTGCTTCAGACGTGTCTGCAGGAATTGTTTGTATGACCAGTGTGACGAGACCACCGTACACGCAGACACCCCTTAAACAATAGAGCGTTTTAGAGAACCGTCTTTGCCCATCCGATTCGGTACGACGTGCCCTCTGGTACGAACCGCGCATGTGCGAGGCTTGTGTGGTAGCGCGTGCGCAGCGCATACCGGAGGGCCCATCGTACCCTATCGGATGTGACAAAACGGTTTCCCAAAGTCAACTAGTGTCTGCAAACTGTCTTTTGCGTGACCGTATTAGCAAGTATGGGCACGGCTCGGAACCGTGCGCGGTTTCGACGGAAGTGTAGTTCCAGGTTAAGCGGCAGACTTCAGGCGATTACCTGTCTGTTACAACAAAAGAAACGGCTGGAGAGACTCCAGCCCCGAATTTCCAGAGAGAAATGACGTCAAAGAGCGACTAATTACGAACGTACGATTTTTCTGACATCACGCGAACGAAAAAAATCTGTCAGCACCTCTGGTTTTTTTTTCTTGTTTTTTTTTTTTTTAAGGTTGGCATTCGCGCAAATAGAGTGCGTTCTTTTTCGTGGTTTGCGCCATCCTTGGGGGATTTATCGTTACAGTATTAAAATTCGCTTTTATCGCTTCGTTCACTTACTTACATGTTCGTGCCTGTCTGTAGTTTCAAATAAATTGTTTCATCCCTTGTCTCAATCTTAAATAGTATAAAAGAAATAAAGAAAAAGATGCTATACACAGTCAAAAAACATTCCTCTCCAAAGAAATAAAAAGAAACTGTTTTTTTTTTGTATATATATATATATATATATATATATATATATATATATATATATTATATATATATATATATATATAGACGACAGTGAATCGATTCTTTGAATACCACCTACGAAAAAATTTATTGTTCTCCGTAACGTCTGTTAGTAGAATCATCGTATTTTTGAGCACGTACTCTCCAATAAAAATAAATACAAAAAAAGTACACTAGGATAGCGACCAGAGAACTTTTAATTTGCATACTCCATTCTTCTTCATGTGTTCTTTAAACACGGACGTATATGCATAGTAAGCGTGCCAGGCAGCTGACACAATCATCGAAACCTATCTTCGTGTGTTTGCGTATTCGTTTGTACAACTTTTGGAGTTCTATACTCGGATTTGATAAGTGCACCAAGGATAAAGTAAGGGCTAGCGATTTTTTTGCAAATCAATAATGAGTATGACAGGATATAACATACCATCATCGACAAGCAAAAAACAAAAGAAAAAAAGAAAACGCGATGTAGGTGATGGAAAAAGAAACGTTTTTTTCGGGAATTGCGACAACTTGTTGGGGAATTCAAGGATGGGTTGACGAAGATGGAGAACGGAACATTTGCTTTTTACGAAACGTCCATGTGCGTTTGGCCGGCACCCGTCCTCTCGGGAGTTGCGAGAATTCGGACTTTGCATGTTTCGTCATATCGCTCCGGACGAGATGGGCGGGATAGATTTGGGGGCTCAGGACCGTACGCTTGGAACTATATACCGTTTTGGGTATAGCCCCCGCAACGTACGTGCTCCTCGGTTAACCACCCGGCGTCGGAAGCCGTTCTTGATACCGTAAAATGCCGAAATAAACAAATAAAACGAAAAGTGTTATATTCGTTTCTTTTTTTCCCCTCTCTCTCTTTTAACTTAAAGATGTGATTGATCTCAGAGTTCCGACATACGTTGGACAATGCTGCTCGCGAGGTAGGTACTTCGGATAAAGAAAGTCAAGAAAGGCGACGAAAAAAACAACAAAGAAAGAAAGAAATAGATATAAAAATAACGGGCGAATAAAATAAAAACAAGTATAAAATGAGACGGATAGGCACGAAGAAAAGGGGGAAAGAAAAAAACTAATTAAAAATAAATGCAGAAAGAGAAAAAAAAAACGAAGCTGAAATATAAAAAAAAAACGTTGTGGTGATTGTATTGTTACTGAAAGCTGAAGAAACGAAAGAGGCCTGGCTTATTATGTTAATTCACGATGCTTGCTTCGTGATTGGTTCTTCGGCGTTCCTTTCGCCAAGTTCCGTAATCTGATTGGCTGGGGAGCGCAAGTTCGTCTGCTTCTTGGACAGGGGTTGCGGTGACGTGAGAGCGACGCCGAGCACTGATGGGCCTTGATTGAAAGGATAGTGGGCAGGCCTTAATGCTAGATACCTTGAGGTCTACCCACTATTTCTCTTTCAATCAGCCAATAAGTCAACCATTTCGTCGTTTACCCTGAGACTGGTTTTTTTTTTAGAAGAGCAGGGTAAACGACGAAATGGTTGACTTCCACCAGCTAGCCTGTACTTTGACTCTTTTCTCGCCAATAAGTGTTTGGCGTCGTCCTGAAGTTACCGCACCCCTTGCGCAAAAAGCAGACGGCGTTATGATTGCGTATACGTTCAGTGACCATTTTGTGTTTTGTTGACAGCTCTGGAACGACCTTTGTTTCTAAGTAAGGCAACGTGGCGTGTCTATATGTATTTGTTACAGCATGTTTATCGTGAGATCGACTATGCGCGACTAAAAGTGAAATCACTTAAGAAGTATGTAAAGAGATACAGCGATAAAAGCGAAACACGTCTGTCACTGGAGGCTTAAAGGGTACTCCGGCGATTTTTGGAGCTACCCCGACTAACTGTAATATCGGAGTCACTGGCCCTCAATGTTGTATACGATCCTCAAAAAACAAGAAAAAAGGAACGAAAGCGTGTTTCTTCTGATTTTTGGAGCGGTTTAAGCAATGGAACGTATCGTTACATATGCGTTACGTTTGTAGTTTGCTAATTACCATATTTATTTAAATCAAACAGAGGTTTTTTTAATCTAACCGTTAGTAGTCAACATACTAGTTTGTACGTCGTCATGGAAGGGCAACAGGAGAAGAAAACAAGCGGAAGCAGGGTTTCATTTGTTGATATATTCAAGTTTAAAATCTCAGCTTTTAACTATATTCATGTTTGTAGTGGACGTTTCAGACGGGCCGAATGTACTTTTACCCAACATTGTACGAGCGTTTTACAGAAACCTCACACGTTTCAATTGAACTATGTCCCTTGTTCGAACCTAAAAACAGTTGCCTCTCGATGTTGCTGTCCGCAAGGATGAGCAAGTGGAGGAAAGGGTAGGCCTTTTGGAAGGTCAGTCTTAAAAACTACAAATACTTCTTTGCAAGGTTGGCTTTGTTGTTCATTTTGAAAGAGGGGGGGGGGGGGGGGGGGGGGGCAAGAGAAAAAACACAGTTTTTTTGTGTATCTTTTAATGATAAAAAAAACTGCTCCGACTTTACTCAACAAGATTAACAATTTAATCAAACGTTTCGTCTCCCATGCAGGAAACATCGTCAGTGAAACCTACAAGCAGGAATTATTACAAGCAGTTTCCTGCTTGTAGGTTTCACTGACGATGTTTCCTGCATGGGAGACGAAACGTTTGATTAAATTGTTAATCTTGTTGAGTAAGTCGGAGCAGTTTTTTTTATCATTATGATTCCCGGCTTTTGGAATATTTTTGCATGTATCTTTTAAGTGACCAATGTTCGGGATACAAAGGTGCGTTCGATGTCTGGCCATCTGTGATCTCGTTGTAACTGTAGGTCTCGTTATGGAAGTTCACAAGTGGCTGTAGTCGGCCTTAGATTTCTGGGTGTATGAGGATTCGTGGAACCAAAGAAAGTAGCTGAGTTTGAAACAACCCTCTTTCTTTGTCTTTTCTCGCGACTAAAAGCCTTGCTTTTTGTACCGCAGTTTCGGGCACTCAAAAAAGAATCAATGTCCATCAGCTCTCCTGCACCCGAAACTGTTAGCAAGCGAGGACCACACAAAATAATCCATACGATTAGTAGCCAAAAAGGTAACGAGATCCTGCACTTTATACTTTCAAAATTTCCCCGTTCGAAATATAATAAAAATAGCCCCACTGGATGGAAAAAAAGGAACGCCGTTACTCTTTTTGTTCCAGTAAAAATGTAAACCGTACCCGTTCCAGTTCCAGCGATGCAAAATGGAACGGCGGCGTTCTTCGTTCCTCCTAAAAGGAACGCGTTCCAGGAACGCCGTTCCTTGGAACGCCGTTCCGTACAACACTGCTGGCCCTGAACCATTCCGGTGTGCTATCATTAGTATCGCACAATTCAGAATAGTTATTGTGAAACCGGCAGGTGAAAATAAGGCCAAAAACTAATATTCAAATATACCCGCGCTTTTAAGCGTCGTGACGTCAGTGGAAGGCAGGCTTGCAGGTCGAGCGGGCAGTCTAGAACTGGACTATGCCAAGCATTTGTTTTGCACTGCTGAGCGGATGCTAGAGCGAGCTTCCACAAGCATTAATTTGAAACCACGAAACTGCTTGTAATAAGTTGGGAACAATGTCTATTAATCTCTTTGTGCTCTGTCCAATCTCGTTCGGTTCAAGTTCTGCGAATGTTGCCTCGACTATTCGTCTAATAAAATCCCCGGCCTGCTCGCCCTCTACACTTATCCCCTCTTGTGTGGTCAATAAACAATGGAACCCTTCTGGTTCTTTTTCCTGTGCATTAATGGGCTCCCAGAACATTTTTGTTGCATTCCTATTATTTTGATTTACCTCCATCATCCACTCCACTCCATCTCTACCAATCATGGCCTGGATTAGAGCGGATGCCTCTTTTTTTTTTTTGTTGAAATGTATTTCAGCTCGATGCTACCTCAGCGGGTGTGTCTCCCCTTTTATTCGCCTTTCTGAGTTCCCTTGAGGCCTCTTATCGCCCTGCTATGGCCGCCTTAACTTCACTGTCCCACCAGCTTTTTGGTGTGTGTTTTCGTAGCCTTCGTCCTCTCTGTTTGATTGTGAACTTCTCTAACTTTCTTCTAAAAGTGTTAAAGGAGCTGTGCAACGATTTTAACGTTGAAAGAATTGGCATCTTCTGCTTTTGATATTGTTCACTGTGTCACAAATGGCAGAAAACACACCTCCTTTCATCGGAATGCTGCGATTCCGCCGCGTAATAGCGAGGCAAAACTTGGAATATTTCCCGACCTGCAGCCACGAGCGGCGGCCATGAGAAACAAGCGGCGTGACGTCGCTTGGGTAGTTGTAATAAAGATAGCAAGTTGTGTGAATACCTGCTCGATAAAAGGTAACTTTTCTATAAATCTTGTCGTTCCAACATATATATAAATGCATCAAAACCCTGGTATCATCGACAAAACTTTTATTATACGGAGTTTTAGTGGCGCCATCTATGCTAGGTCCACAAGACCGCGAATAGCCGCCAGAAGCCGGAGGGGGAGGGGGACAGCGCCGGACGGGCAAGGACGGGTATGGCCGGACCCGGATGAGACTTTCCTCCTTTCACCGTATATTTCGCGGGGCGCCCGCCAGCACGTGGTCACGCGGTCGCGAGCGGATGAGTTCTCGCTGCTGGCTGATGGCTCTAAAGAGAGAACTTTTCCGGAACCCCGCGTCTTCTCAAGTGACGTCACTGCGCACGTGACCCGGAAGACGATGTACGAGTTGAGAGGCGGCAAAAACCTGGATCTTTTTCATTTTTTTAAATAAAAACTAGGGTATCCAGGCAAAATCTGTTTTCTGTAGTTCACTACAGAAGTGTCAGGCATCAACTTCCACAATTATTTAAGCAAAGCCCTGAAATTGTTGCACAGCTCCTTTAATCGCTGTTGTCTGGATACTATAGTC